AAAAAAAAAAAAAGAACTAAGCCCTGGAGTCCTCTAATATTTAAATGTTTGGATCACTCAGAAGACCCAGCAAAAGTGTCAGAAGGATTGCCCTTGAGGTGTGAGGAGAATGGTGTCTTAAAAGATAAGAAGGGTTGGGGCGGCACCTGTGGCTCAAAGGAGTAGGGCGCCAGCCCCGTATGCTGGAGGTGGTGGGTTCAAACCCAGCCCCGGCCAAAAACTGCAAATAAATAAATAAAAGATAAAAAGGGCAATCTGCTCTCTCAGACATTGTTGATAGATCAAGTGAGACCTGAGAATTGAAGGTGTTTTTTAAATACATGAAGGTTATTAACTTTTAACTTTTTTTTTTTGGACACAGAGTCTCACTCTGTCACCCTGGGTAGAGTGCCGTGGTGTCATCATAGCTCACAACAACCTCAAACTCTCGGGCTTGAGCAATCCTCTTGCATCAGCCTCCCCAGTAGCTGGGACTAGAGGTGTGTGCCACTACACCTGGCTAGTTTTTCTATTTTTAGTAGAGACAGGGTCTCATTCTTGTTCAGGCTGGTGTAAAACTCCTGAGCTCAAACAATCCATCAGCCTCAGCCTTTCAAAGAACAAGGATTGGCTCGGCACCTGTTGCTCAAGTGGCTGAGGCACCAGCCGCATACATTGGAGCTGGTAGGTTTGAATCCAGCCCGGGTCCACCAAACAACAATGACAGCTACAACCAAAAAATAACCGGGCGTTGTGGCAGTTACCTGTAGTCCCAGCTACTTGGGAGGCTGAGGCAAGAGAATCACTTAAGCCCAAGAGTTTGAGGTTGCTGTGAGGTATGACACCACAGCACTGTACCCAGGGCGACAGCTTGAGGCTCTGTCTCAAAAAAATAAAAATTAAGAAAAAAGGCAGCGCCTATGGCTCAAAGGAGTAGAGCACCTCAAACCCAGCCCCAGCCAAAAACTGCAAAAAAATAAAAATAAAAAGAGCTAGGATTTTGTATATATATATTTATTTATTTATATTTGAGCAAAGGTCTGCAAAGTATAGCTTAATGGGCTAAGTCCTGCCCCCTGCCTGTTTCTGTAAGGTTTTTTATTTGAAACATCATGCCCATTCATTTATATAGCCACTTTCACACTACAGTAGCAGAGCTGAATAGTTGCAACAGAGACCCACATGAACTGCAAAGTCTGAAATATTTACTCTCTGGCTCTTTCCGGAAGTTTGCTGACCCCCTGCCTTTCAGTAATTCTCATGCACAGGGAGGAGATACGTGTAAGGATTTTTTGATGCATCCTAGTTCATAATAGAAAATAATGGGAAATAATTGGTCTATGAATCTGTTCATAAACAGAAAATGAATAAATAATATTCAGACAACAGACTACTATATTGCTGTTAAAGGTGAGTGAACTGAAGTGACATGTAAGGATTAATATGAAAAACAGTGTTGAACACAACACGTAATACTCAAATTTATGTACAGTATGTAACATTTATATAAAGGTTTAAAATATTCACATTTTTAGGGGTACTTAGGAGATTTCAAGTAAATCTGTAACATCTTTTTCTTAGATAGTTATATAGGCATTTGTGGGTTTTTTATATGGTTCTATTATTTCATTAACAAGTGATTGAGTCAGGGTAGACATCTAGGAATCTTCCCTTCGGATATTGCTGCTGTTGCTGCTTTACTATGTCACGTCTTAAAAACCCAGAACACTCATTGTGCTTCCCACACCTGCAAGGGAGATTTTCTGTAGTGCTCATTATACCAAGTTCTGGCACCCACAGCCTTGTCAATCTAATGGAAGTGATTTTATTCCCTCTGACAGTAAGTGTGCTTATTTGGTGATTTCCTCAGTCTTAGTTCATCCGGAGCTAATTTGTGAATCTGCAGTGGGATCTGGTGCCATGGTAACCACAGTGGGCGTGAGGAACTGTGAAATGGGAGCAAGGAGAGGAAATATTTTTTCAGTTCCTCTGAATTGATTTCAAAGTGGGGTCTCTTAATAGCCATGCTTTGATTTTGGACATTAAAGAGAATTCTCAGAAGCACTTCTAAAAACATCAGAAGTGTTTTTGATAGAGGAAACTCAGGAACCACTATTCTCTAAAGGCTTGGCTGGTCTTACAGTTCACCATTTTTAATTACTTGACTTTCGGTAAACAGCCTGGTCATTGGTCTCATCCTCCTGAATGGGTATATGCGTGTCCAAGATTGTTCTGAGAATGTAAATGGAAATATTTTACCAATTGTATTGGAGTCGTTTTTTCATGTAGCTAATCTTTACTTTGAACTGTTAATAACTCCTCTCTTCATCTCTTAATCCTCTTAGAAGAGACATTCCAAATCATATTTCATCCTTGATCATTGCATGCCAGGACAATAAAAATACCTCTGTGTCCTTGCCTCCTGATAAATAGGAGATGTTCCCTTAGTCTTAGAAGAAAGTCTAAAATCTGACTCACGAGTTCTTTTCTGTAGACAGAGCCTAGTAGCCACTATGGGTCTAGCGGAGGTTGGCTTGGTTTGTAAGATTGTAATAGTTAGAATCACAAAGTATTTACCAATTTGTTCAGTTGTTCAGAACTCTTCAATAGCTTGAACATGAGAATTCATTATTAGTTGAATTTTTTTTTTTTTTTCCGAGACAGAGCCTTAAGCTGTCGCCCTGGGTAGAGTACCGTGGCATCACAGCTCACAGCAACCTCCAACTCCTGGGCTCAAGCGATTCTCCTGCCTCAGCCTCCCAAGTAGCTGGGACTACAGGCGCCTGCCACAATGCCCGGCTATTTTTTGGTTGCAGCCGTCATTGTTTGGCGGGCCCAAGCTAGATTCAAACCCTTCAGCTCAGGTGTATGTGGCTGGCACCTTAGCCACTTGAGCCATAGGCACTGAGCCTAGTTGAATATTTAATGTTAGAACTGAATTGGGGCTTTAGCTATGGACTGTAGGCCTCCAGAAAATCATTTACTCAGTAAACATTGATGGAATGCTTCATATGAATGTAAGGTATGACAATGTTATTATAACTCAATACTAAAGAGACCTAAGTGCACCTAAGCCTAGCCTTGTATGTAAGTGAGAGCGTGAAGCTCAGAGTGCACTAGCACCAGGTCCAGGTTCTAGTGCATGTGTTTGAGGTGCCACTTGGACTTTGGATGTCAAAGATTTGCAGTCGTTCAAATGTACTAAGCAGGATTTATGAGTATGGAGGTATAAGTTCTCTTCAATTACATTGTAGTCATTTTGGATTTGTGTAGTTGTACATTTATTGCAATTTTCCAGCAGATGGCAGTCATGTGTCTTGAGGAAGAGATACCTTCATCTTATGCAGGAGCCCTGGTACTAAGTGACTGGATCTAGCAAGAAGGAAGGAAAAGGATAATGGAGCAAGGTGAAGAAGGAAGCCAGAGTTAGGACCTTTTTTAACTGAAGAAGGTGGCAGAAACAGGGAAATAAAGTATAAGAGATGGTGAAGAAAGAGCAAGGGATATGATTTCCTTTTATTTATGCAAATAAAGCATCTGTCCTACAGCAGTATCATCTGTGCATGCTATAGGTGTTGGTTGCATATGGAATTTGAATTTCAATATACTGGCATGTTTCTCAGTACTGTCTGAAGTGGATTTACGTCACCTGAGGTTAGTTTCAGTGATACAGTTTCTCAGTTATAACTACAAAGTATAGTAAGTGAGAAAATTCTAGATATAACAAAAATTGTTGCCATGTTTATTGGTTATTTTTCTCACTTCTACTCTGAGGCTCCTCCACTGAAAGACACGAGGCCCACGCCCAGGACTGTTTTTGGAATATGGAGAATTGGATGGAAATGGCTTTTTGTCTGTTAGTTCTAACAAGAAATCAATGTCCACTTCTCTTTCCTACGCTAAAACATTTCCCCTCAAAAATTGTTTTTTCTTTGTGACATTGGCAGGAGCTTGGATTTGGAGTCAAGGTTCTTCAAATCCAAATTCTAGCTACTAGCTTATTTGTGATCCAGAACAGGTCACTAAAGCTGTGAGTCCCATTGTCCTTTGTAACATAAGGAAGAGTATCTATCTCACTAGACTACCTTGAGCATTAAATAAAGGAACAAATTGGTAAGTGCTTTGTAAGCAGTTAAGTTCAGGAGAGGTGGAAGAGGAAGATGGTATTCACAGCTCTCAACATAGACAAGCCTCCTAGTCTCCCATTATAGAAATTCTCGCACACTAAGGTCTTAGGGACTTCACCCTCAGTGAGTTGTTTCAATGATACTATTTCATATTCTTTGGGTAGAGGTTCTGCTAGATCTCTGCCTCTGACTTCTGTATCCACCAAGCACACTACATAGGCTGCCACTTAGTCCACCTAAACACAGGCAGATAACCCTAGTAGCAGCCCTTTTCTTTGGTTTTGAAAAAAATAAAAGAGGATATCCTAATAGGAACTTTATTTTTCTCATCAGGTAAGGAGAGCTGCTTTGAGAGAATTGTGTCAAGGTTTGGAAAGAAAGTCACATATGTAGTGATTGGAGATGGACGAGATGAAGAAATTGCAGCCAAACAGGTAACCATTATAAAGAAAGTTGTGTGGGTATACAATTAAGCAATTAGAAAAATGGTAAAAACTACAAACCTTAGCAATCTATTGTGCGTTTTTAGTATTTTCTCTTTCTTTTCTTCCTCTGTCATTTTTCTTTAAAGGAAGAGAGGATTATTTTTGTACCCAAATGGAGTTTTCCCTGTAGGTAATTAAATCATTCCCTTTTCCCTTCTCCCTGCCACTCAAGAATCTTCAGACTTTTAAATCCTACTGCAGGAACTCTAAGCATTAAACCTGAAGGTGGGCCCCATCTTCATCTTAGACAGCAATTTCTTCTCAAGAATAGGCATTGCAAAAGGCCTACAAAAAGGCAAATCATTCTGACTTTTTTGGGCTTCAAATTTTCACCAGAAACAAAAATCATCATAATTGAGTTGTTACTATAGAGAAAGTCCTTTCTGGTTTTAAGCCCTCATCTATATGCAGGTCAAGGTCAAAGTCATTCTTTTTTTTTTTTTTTCAGTTTTGGCCGGGGCCAGGCTCAAACCCATCCCCCCCCCACAGTATATAGGGCTGATACCCTACTCCTTGAGCCACAGGTGCCGCCCCAAGTCATTCCTTCTTAATAGAGGAAACAATAAGTGAAAGAGTCTTAGCTGTAGAATCTAAAATCCCATTCATTTAATAGCTGTGTGATTTTGGACAATTTATCTTCTTTTGCATTTCTTATCTACTAAACAAATCTATAGTTCTTTCCTTCCCTACCTCACTTTATTTTCTTTCAGCAGCTCAATTTCTTTCTTTCTTTTTTTTTTTCTTTTTTTTATTGCAGTTTTGGCCAGGCCTGCGTTTTAACCTGCCACCTCAGGCATATGGGGCCGATGCCCTACTCCTTTGAGCCACAGGTGCCACCCAGCAACTCAATTTCTTAAAATTTAAAGGCCTAGCGTTGCCACCTAAGATCAACTGCCCTGGTTTTCTTCACCTACTAAACATAGAAACCTCAGTAACTATAATAAACTATGAGATTGGTAATTAGTTGGCATTATTACTCAGTATGTTTTCATTTGTGGCTTCATGTAACAATTCAGGAACTTTATTTTTTTCACATATGTTATCACTGAAGCTTTCTTTGTTATTCAGGTGCTTCTTGTTGCCCTCTTTGGGGACAGACACTAGTGGGTGTAGGCACCGGTGCTTCTCGATCTGAAGAAGGGCATAGGAAAGAGAAAGAACTACTTAAGTCATTAGCGGAGTTGGTATCTCTAGGCTGATGTCTGTAATCATCTGTAGTAGAATAGACCCACGGGAAAAAGCCTTAGCACTTTATCCAGTTTAGCCTCCACCCTGTGAAGGATCTGCAAAAGACTCTAGTCCTTGCTTGAAAATACTCAAGGTTGGGCGACCTCAATACCGAGAGTGGTGGGTTCAAACTTGGCCCCAGCCAAATTGCAACAAAAAAATAGACAGGCATTTTGGCGGCACCTGTGGTCCTAGCTACTTGGGAGGCTGAGGCAAGAGAATCGCCTAAACCCAAGAGCTAGAGGTTGCTGTGAGCTGTGAAACCATGGTACTCTACCAAAGGGAACAAAGTGAGACTGTCTCTTAAAAAAAAAAAAAAAGACAAGAAAATACTCAAGGCTGAGGATGCTGATCATCAAGTAGCCTTTTCCCCCGTGGGGTCAACCAAACTGTTAGAGTGTTCCCCCTTCCAGTGAACAAAAATGTCTCCTTAACTTTGATTTACTGGTCCTCATCGGGCCCTCCTGAGCATAACCTACAAGTCTCTGCCTCTTCTGTATTTTAATGATCTTTTAAGTATTATGTGTGAGCAGCTGGCTTGAAAAAATTTTAGGCTACAAGCCAGAAATATTGTGTTCTTAGACCTCAATATTCTGAGTAACTTTGAACCACTTTGAACAAGACAGTAAAGCCAGTCTCCTTCACTACATAGAACGTGGTTTCTAACACTTTGGTGTATCAAAGTCCTCTTTTAAAATGTGGCTCATTCCTATAAACCAAGCTCTTCCAAAAGCTGAGGCAGAAGACTTAAGGCCAAGAGCTAAAGATCAGTATGGGCAATATAGCAAAACCTGTCTCTAAAAATCTTTTTTAAATTAGCCTAGGTATGGTGGCTCAGGCCTGTATGTCATCCCAGCTACTTGGGAGGCTGAGGCAGAAGGATCACTTGAGCCACTGGGATTATAGGCTTGAACCACTGCACCTGGCCCCAAGACCCTGTCTCTTTAAAAAAATGAAAAGAGGCTTTTAGAACAGAAAAAAGTATTCTAGACATGATTCTGACCAAATAATATAATGGGATTATTACTTCCCAAATCTATATGTTCCTCATCTTGGACATTGGAAAGATCTGGACCTTGTAGGTCTGAAACTTGTAAGTTGACTGTAGTATGATATAGTAATAACAATACTAATTTTTCACCTGGGCCATTTTATTTGATCCTGAAGACCCTAGATAATTCCTTAAATAGCTGTATCTCTCAGAAAACCACAAAGCTACCACCGAAACCTAATAAAAATCTCTCACATTTATAAAGTATCCTGTAATGTACAGCAGTTTAATTGCTCCTTATGACAGCCATATGAGGTAGCTGGAATAGATAGGGTTACCACATATGTACCTTGGGGAAAAGTCTGTGGAGCAAAGAGTATGGGGTAAATATAAGCTCCCAAAAGAAATTGGACCAACCAGCTATTCCTTCTCTCTTCCAGCACAACATGCCTTTCTGGAGGATCACAAACCATGGAGACCTAGTGTCCCTTCACCAGGCTTTGGAGCTTGATTTTCTCTAAGAACTGGAATAAGGAGCCTTCCCTGTGAACTTTTCACTCCCGAAGGGAGCTGGAGACTGGAATCAACTGGGATCTCTCTCTTTCTGTCTCTTTCTCTCTGTCTGTCTTTCTCCCTCCATCGAATGCTGGCGAGAACACAATCAGAACCAAGTGCTGCAAGTTTTCGTACGAGTGCAGCCCCCGTGTTTATCCTCGTACAGAGCAGGAGACAGCTGGATAGAGAGAACAGTAGACTCACTGCAGCTACAGTGCTTTTAATTCTGTGTTTTGTTTTGTTTCAAAAAATGAAGAAAAAGTAAAGGAAATTTGAGGGGCAGAGTTGTCCTTTTACTTAGTCCATGACCAGATTGAGAACTGCTATTAACTTGTGGTGATAGGATAAATGCAACAGATTTTATAATGACATCTCTTGCAGTCTAGAATCTCCATAGCTGTAGAACGTATTTCCAGGTGAATGTGTGTGTTATTTTTATAGGTTAAGGATCTGGCCTCTGAAGCAGGTCCCACACCCCTACCCCCTGCTTTTTCTAGTAAGAAAGAGGACATATAAAGTTTTTTTGAAAATAGTAATTGAAATATCTAAAATACCTCACTGTGGCAGTAGCACCTCTTCAGCTGCTCCAGTGGTCTGCTCTGTAACATGACTCCTTTCCTGTTCTTCCATCTCCTAGTATGCCAAACTATGGGGGTACCAGATACTGAGCAACCTTGAACTTTGGCATTGCCCATCCTTAGAAGTCCTAGTCTCCGTTCTGATCCTTCTGCCCCTTTAGCCAAATGGTACAATGATAGAAACTCCTTCTCTAAAACAGTAAATTCTAAGCCTTCAGCTTAACTCATATTTAAAAAGACTGTGTCATTCAAACTGGAGAGAAAGGACTAAGGCTTCTTAAGAATTTCACCACCTTTTAGCTCTTGAGACAAGAAGGTTCCACTTATAGCAAGCACCCTTTGCCCACCAGATGGCTCAGCGCCACAGCCTCTTGCTTCTTAGTCAGGCTCACATTCACCTGCAGGCAGCTCTGGCCAGTCCCCTGGGTATCATACCCAAGAAGTCAAATCAAGTCTGAAAACAGACTTCTAACTACATATTGGCCAAAATTACCAATGTGTTTGACTTTCTTTAAGGGCGCCCTTAAGCCACATGAAGGGTGCCCTAGGTATATATTCACACAGATCTTTGTCTGAAACTAAAGAGAAGTTTGCTGTAATTAAAACCCGATTTCCCATGGAACACCTCGCTTCTCAAAACCAGAAAGCCAAAAAGACTTTCCTAATTAAATGAGAGTGCTGGATCCCCTGCTTCATGCCTGAAAACCTAATCCTGGGCCAAATGCAGGAACATCTCAACTGGGCCCATGGGCAGATTGGTGGGTGCCCAGGCACTAGTCACAGCCTTCCAGTCCAGTGTTTGTGGGGTACCCCATCCCTCCAAGACCAACCTGGGCATCTGCTCAGGCAGGATAAACTTCCCTAGAGCTGAGGAAGTTCCACCTCCCAGGCTACACAGAGAACGATGCCAGCTTGGTCCTCAGAAGGAGGCATTCTTGAACAAGTCCAGCCATGATCACTTGTGCCCAAAGATTCTGCTTATCCATTTCCAGAGATGTTGCAGCACAAAGAGGCAAGACTTCCAATACCAGGTTACCCAGATTGCAACAGAGAGGCTGGTATACACATTCCTTCAGAACTCATTGAAAACTGCTTCAGGACTCACAATGTTAGGGAGTACGGTTTTGGAGAGTAGTTGAAGTCAGTGCTCCGTTACTTGGCTGCCTCTTTGGCCTTGCTTCCTGTGGAGTGAGGGGAGTAGGGAGAGTCTGAGGCAGACCTCCCCTTGGTCTGTATTCAGCATAGTTGTCCAGATGCTGCTTTGCCTTGCTTGATGGCTGATCTCAGGCATCTCTAGGTTTTGCTTGCAGGCCTCAAACCCTCCTTCTCCCTATTGCCAATACAGTTGTTGGTTTCTTGTCCTGAAACAAAGGCCACCCTGTTGGCGCTGTGCTTCAGGTTTGTGAGGCTGTGGAGTGATAACTACATGTAAGTATGCAGACACTTCCTTCACCCTACCCTGTGGGAGCTCCTTCTTAGAGTAGGACCTGGACTCTTTTTCAATGGGCTATTTCCTCTTTCCCTGACTTCCCAGCTTAACTCATTCAGAAAGGAACTTGGCCAAGAGAGGTAAGGAGGCTTTCTGAGCAGAGCAGTCTGCTGTTTTCTGGTTGCTACTGCCCTCATTTGGAGGGCAGACAGTAAATAGGAGCTTCTTGGCTCATCTTTGCCAAAGGGAATTGTCCAGGAAACACAGTGTTCTTCTTACCCCATTTTTCCTCCTCTCCATTACAAAAATCTGGAAAGGAAGGGAGTGAGTAGCATCAAGAGCTGTTGGAAGCCAAGGGCCAAAGGATACTGTACTCCTTTTGCTCTTTTCTAGAAAGATCCCCATGAAATTAGCCAGTGATGAGTCCTTCCCCAGCTGGGCACCTGGGTTCTCTAAGATGGGTCTGCACATTTCATGGTGGGGGCTGTTCCACCAGTGGATCTGGAGTCGTCAGGTGTGTCCTGGGTTCAAGAGGAGGCTTGACTTTCGAATGTAAAACTGACTGTGCCTTAGCATCACCCTGTCCCCTGCCCCGGGGCAGCTGATAGTATCCAGGAGGATGGACACCTACTCCATATTTAGATGCCTATTTGGGCTTTTGTTTGATTTGGGGTGTTCCTGTCTTCTGCTCTGCAGGTTGTGGGGGCAGGGTGGTGCAAAGCTAGTGTCCCAAGAGACTCATGCCACAGCTTGTTCGCAGTTTACACAAACTCAGCTTTAAAGCTCCAATAGACCTGATTGGCAAACTCCAGCTGTAGCATATGGAACTTCTAGATGTCCACTACCTTGAATGGGTGTCAGTGCCACTGAGCCAGCGGGGAGAAGGGTACAGGGGCAGAGTCACATCTCCCTCTTTCTTGAGAGAGTGATGGTCCCAGCCAAGGAGTGGTGAGCGTCTGTCTTCTCACTGCTCACTCCTCAAGGGGGCAGTCAGGACCCATCTCAAGCAAGCTTCTGTTTCTTACCACTATATTGGTTTCCTTTTTCATCCAAAAGTTAGAACTCCCCAGATACTAAAGAAGCCAAGTCTGAATTCTGAGATTCTAAAATATCTTAAACCACAAAAGAGAAAATCTAGTTCTGTTCCAGCCCCAGTCAGCAGGCCGTCTGTCCCTTTCTCACTGAGTCCTCTCCAGAATGCAAGGCTCCTTGGCTATTCCTGATGCACTGACGGGAGCCATCCCCTTACAGACGACTTCTCAAAACACGACTCCCTCTGGACTTAAGATGCCTCTTTTAGCAGGAAAAGGCATTGATTGGATTAGATATATTTATGTGACTGCGGGCATTCGTGGCTGTAGAATCCTTGACCATAATGTTATATGTAATGGGAACTGTCTTAGAAACTTGAAAAAAATAAAGTTTTTATTTTCTATACAGTTTGATCCTGTGTGTTTTCTGAATAGGATAAGCCCAGTTGCTTATCCCTGTGTAGGATCCTAATTAGGGCTTCATAAAGATTCTGGAAAGATTTTGTCACTGTTTCAACAACTAGGTCATTTATTTCACCAAAAAAGTAAAAATTAAAAAAAAAAATTGGTATAAATACACATGGGAAAATATTATTTTTAAATAATTTTGCAAGGAAGCATTTCTTAATTGTCTCAAATATATATTGCTTTTTAAAGTTTAGAACTGGAATGATCTCATTTGTTGTCAAATGTGCTGGAATTTAATTACCAAAGAGAAAAATCTCAATACCTTGCTGTGCTGAGCTTAAACTGCAGAAGCAATAAAACTGACGAACTAGTATCAAATGTTGTTTGATTTGGCCTGATTCCATGTTGTATCAAGCACTTTTTCTCATTTCATTTCTTTTCAGTTTGGGTCTGGCTGTCCTACACTAGCCTGGACAACAGAGAAAAAGTCTTTTCTGCCATTTAGTTCAAGGAAGAAAATTAGAATTCAGTTCTAGCTTCAAGTACAATACACGTCAGGCTATCATATATTTTTCCCCAAATTCCTCAGAAATGTATGCCTTCTATTTTAGTCATTAAATCTGTTCTTCATTAGGTACAGATTTTGAATGACACTACTGAAAGCAAACCGGTTAGTTGCTATATCCTCACTTAGTTGTAAGCAAGATACTAGAGGCATTGATTTCCAAGCCAAGGAGTAAACATCTCCATCTCCCTCTACACTTAATATAACATACATATTTCTGCTACAAACCTTTTGGTGGTAGGTAAAACGTTAGCATTTAGGAAGATTTTTCTTTTTCAAAAGCAAGTTTCTTACAATTAAAAAATTCCTGACAGGAATGTTACGGGGAATTTCTAGTTCCAAGAAATTTGCAACTGTCATCTTTTTTTTTTTTTTTAACACGATAGAGTCTCATTTTGTTGCCCTCGGTAGAGTGCTGTGGCGTCATAGCTCACAGCAACCTCCAGCTCTTGGGCTTAGGCAATTCTCTTGCTTCAGCCTCCTGAGTAGCTGGGACTATAGGTACCCGCCACAACGCCTGCCAATTTTTTTGTTGCAGTTTGGCCGGGGCCGGGCTTGAACCCACCACCCTCGGTATATGGGGCCAGCGCCCTACTCACTGAGCCACAGGCGCTGCCCAACTGTCATCTTTAAGTTGTTGAATTTGTAAATTTTATACACCAGTGAATTGACTGCTAAATTCTGCAGCTTTTCAAGTGACAACACTATTGTTTGGATTTAACTACATACATGTTACCATCATTTGACAATTTCATCCAGAGAGCATTAGATGAAATCTTAGCCAAAAATAAAATAAGAAATATGTCTTTTGTATTCAATACTGTGTTGAAACTCATAGATGAGCAACTACAGGCCATCACGAGAGAAAGACAAGTTCAGGGTAGTGCCCGTGGCTCGGTGAGTAGGGTGCCAGCCCCATATACTGAGGGTGGTGTATTCAAGCCCCTAAAAAGATAGAGGGGCATTGTGGCAGGCGCCTGTAGTCCCAGCTAATTGGAGGCTAAGGCAAGAGAATCACTTAGGGGTCCTCAAACTTTTTAAACAGGGGGCCAGTTCACTGTCCCTCAGACCATTGGAGGGCCGGACTGTGGGCCCCAGGAGGAGTCAGCTGCTAGGCAGGACAGGCAGCTGCGGCAAACACACCCTGCAGGCCGGATAAATGTCCTAGGCCGGGCCGCATGTGGCACGCGGGCCATAGTTTGAGGATGCCTGGCTAAGCCCAGGAGTTGGAGGTTGCTGTGAACTGTGTGACGCCACAGCACTCTACCAAGGGCAATAAAGTAAGACTCTTGTCTCTACAAAAAAGAAAAAAAAGATAAGTTCAAAAGGGGGGAGTAGGGAGAAGAAGGGTTGGGTAAGTTCCCACCTAATGGGTACCTTGTAGGTGTACATGACATACTTCTGGGTGAAGGGCTCAACTGCCACTTAGACTTCACCTTACGAATGTAAACAATGTAACCCAATTGTATGTACCCTCGTATTAATCCAAAAGAAAAAAATACATCTTTTTAAAAAGATTTTATTTACCGAGGCATTGTGGTGGGCATATTACCCCAGCTACTTGGGAGGCTAAGGCAAGAGAATCACCTAAGCCCAAGAGCTGGAGGTTGCAGTGAGTTGTGATGCTACGGCCCTCTACCCAGGGTGACAGAGTAAGACTCTGTCTCTAAAAGAAATAAAAAATAAAAAGATTTTATCAGAGGAAAAACAGGGAATTGCCTGAAACACTGGGTCTTCTGTTCGTGCATGTATGGCAACAGTCCCTGAGCCTACTCACACATATTACAAGAACTGTGGTGGGAAGGGGAAGTGACATCCTTAAGACCTATGTCCAAGGCAAGGTTGGGCACTAAGCCCAGGCATTTATAAGGGCCATGCCTGCCCTCTCTGGGTCTCAACCTTTGACATTCCCTGTGAATTGAGAAGAAATGATTTCCAGTGTGTGTGTATATATTTATTTAAGTGTATTTAGTTAAATAATTGGTCCTTTGTTCTGAGATTGCCATATCCTCTCTTTTATGAGGTTAAGATGGTGGTAGTTTTGGTTTTTTGTTTGTTTGGGGTTTTATTGCTTGATGGAGACAGGGTCTTCACTCTGTTGTCTGGGCTAGAATACATTGGCTTCATCATACCTCACAGCACCCTCAAACTCCTGGGCTCAAATGAGCCTCCTGACTTAGTCTCTGGGGACTATAGGCACACTCCACCGGGCCTGGCTAATTTTTCTAATTTTTGTAGAGAAAGAGTCTCAAACTCCTGGCCTCAAGTGATCCTCCTGCCTCAGTCTCCCAAAGTGCTGGGATTAGGGGCATGAGCGACTGCACCCAACTGATGGTGGTAGTTTCTAGTGGCTTTTTTTGTTAGCAGGCCCAGGCTGGATTTGAACCTGCCAGCCTCCGTGGCTGGCGCCCTACACACTGAGCTATGGGCGCTGCCCGCTTTTTTTGTTAAATTGGTAACCACATGGAACATTTTACTGGTCCATGATATTGAAAAGTCTGGAAGTTACTAGATTGGATGATCTACAAGATCCTTTCTGCCTGTAATATGCCATATATGTCAAAATTACAAGCATCGTTTTCCCTGAGCCTCTCCCTGCCCCCACCTTTCAGCTCTGGCTCATCCTCAGCTCCAGGCCACTAGAGTGCTCCCCACAAGCTCTCCATCAGTGCCTGGAATTCCATTTGCAACACTGCTTCCCTCACAATAATTCAAACCAGTGATTTTGGTCTTTGCTTTTCTTAATGTTTATAGGCCATATCACACAGTCACTGCTGACAGGGCTCCATCCCTCTCTTTTCTTTAGGGTTTATCAGTTTCTTAGGGAGGCTTTCCCTGGCCGTTCTATTTTTAAAGTTGTAACTCCCAGGCGGCACCTGTGACTCAGTGGGTAGGATGCTGGCCCCATATACCGGGGGTGGCGGGTTTGAACCCGGCCCTGGCCAAATTGCAATGAAAAAATAGCTGGGCATTGTGGCAGGCACCTGTAATCCCAGCTGCTTGGGAGGCTGAGGCAAAAGAATCGCCTAAGCCCAGGAGCTGGGGGTTGCTGTGAGCTGTGGTGTCACAGCGCTCTACCAAGGGCGATAAAGGGGTAGAGAGTATTTGTGTTGGGGGTGGGAGTTACAAGCTTTTTTTTTTAAGCACTTAACGCTATCTGATAGACTACACCTTTGACTTAATCCTATTAGTGTCTCCACTAGAATAAATGAATAATAGACCTGAAATGAACCTGGATCCCATCACACTGGTGACTGATAGAACCTTTTCTTCTGTCTCCAGTGACTTTTTTCTTTTTATTGATTGTCCAAACCACAGACCTCCCAAAACAGTAAAAGGGTCCACCTCCCCAGCACCACTGCCTTTGTCCCATAAATCACCTTATCACTTAGTCTCTCAGAGCTCCCAGCCAAAAGACTTTTTTGTTGTTGAGGCAGAGTTTCACTCTGTCACCCTGGGTAGAGTGCTGTGGCATCATAGCTCGCAGCAACCTCAAACTCTTAGATTCAAGTGATCCTCCTGCCTCAGCCTCCTGAGTAGCTATGACTATAGGTGCCTGCCACAACACCCAGCTAGTTTTTAGTAGAGACAAGGTCTGGCTCTTGCTCAGGCTGGTCTCAAACTCCTGAGCTCAAGCAATCCTCTCTCCTTAGTCTCCCAGAGTGCTAGGATTACAAGTGTGAGCCATTGAGCCAGGCCACAGAAAGAACTTTCTTCACCTGGGCTCTTGTATTACTTGCTGGTACTAAAGGTATTTCTAGCTACTCCTACCAGGCCTGGCAGCAAAGCTGGTAGTTAAAAGAATGCACTAGATCAGTGATTTTCAACTGGTGTGCCATGACAGGACAATCTTAGGTGTACTGTGAAAAATTTTAAAGATTAATTAAAAAGAAATTTTTTTTGAGACAGTCTCAAACTGTCACCCTGGGTAGAGTGCTGTGGCGTCATAGCTTATAGCAACCTCCAACTCTTGGGCTCAAGAGATCCTCCTGCCTCAGTTATTCTAGTTTTAGTAGAGATGGGGTCTTGCTCTTGCTCAGGCTGATCTCCAACTCCTAAGCTCAAGCAATCCACCCACCTTGGCCTCCCAGAATGCTTGGATTACAGGCATGAGCCACCACACCTGGCTAATTAAATTATTTTTGAAAGAAATTCAATGCACAGTAATTATATTCTTTTCTTTTTTACTCTTTCTTTGATCAACCTAATGTAAATGTGCTGTGGAAGCTTAACTGTAGTTGAAATGTCCCATGAGATAAAGGTTGAAAAACAGTGCTTTAGAGTCAGCCCAGATCTGAGATCTTATCCCAGACCCTGAAGCTGATCTCGTGCTGGCCCACCAGTTCCTGAGACCTGGGAAGCAAGGTTGAGAAGTCGCACCTAAGCTGGTTCTTTTTTCACTGTCCTGGAGGCCTTTACCAATTTTGAGGTGGATTTCATGTCCCTGACCTCTTCTTCCCAGGACACTTTGAACTCTAGGAGATGTTGTTTAATGACACAGACTGGGCTGAAGGTTTCATGAAGTTTTAATAATACTGTTAAACAAAAGCAACATGTCTCTCTCCTCACAGAGACATATATGCACACACTCTTTCTTCCTCTCACACACTGAGGTAGGAGGTACACTGGCTAAAGAATAAAAAAAAATATACTCAATAGGCTGGGCAAGGCCCAGTCCACAGAGTCACAAGGCATTTGGTTGGAAGACGGCCCCTTGAGAACAGGAGTGGAAGCTAGACCAACTGCACTGAGACCCGGGAGGGGCAGACCAAGGCCACCAAAGGTACACCTCCCTGGCTTCCAGCCTTTGAGATCCAACCCAGGACTGAATGGAGCACAAAGAGGATAAAGCTAGGGATGGCAGCTGATCTTGTTCCAGGTTCCAGGGATAGAATGCTGTTCCTGGCACATAAAATGCTAAGTAAATATTTATTTGAATGAATGGGGTAGGCTGGGGAGGAAGAATTCTAGAGAATAGCCCTCTGGAGGCTCCTGGGTCCCTCAGGGGTGGCACAGCACCTCTACCAGTTATTTTAGAGGTAACCAGGGAGGTGCCAATCCCAGAAAGGGTCTGGGTCACCAGCTATACTGACAGGGGGTGAAGAGAAGAGGGTTGTCTCTTCTTTCCTCTTCAAGTGTCCTAAACATTACATAACTGGGGCCCTTGACCCTCCAGGACCTAGCCTGCTCATCTTGGTCACACTGTGCACGCCTTGAAAGAGACCTCTGCCTTACTAAATCCTGTCTCCAGTCCCTGGCACAGAGTGGGCATCCCACTTTGTTGAGCAGGTCAAGGCCCAGAGCAGCATAATTAGCTTATCTTTTCTGCCTTCTACTGGTTGAGTTACTGTCCGTGTCCCCTAGCAGGGTCATACCCTGTCTCAAAGAACCCCGTTCACTTCTCCCTTCACTGGCAAATCAGCTGCATCCTTAGCCTTGGGAAAGAAGGTGTGAGCCAACCCAGCCACGCGCTTGTTCTGAGGCAGCTGACATTCCTCCGGGGAAAGAAGAGTCCGGGTCCCATCTACCCGGTCAGGCTCCCAGCGACAGCTAGGGTGCAGCCAGCCGTAGTAGATAAGACGCAAAGCCAGACCCAAAAGGAAGCAGATGCCCCCCACAGGCAGCCATATCTTCAGGGCAGCCCTCCTGGGTAGCCAGGTGCTATGAGTCATCCCAGTGGCCACCAGGAGAATGCTGTCACTCAAGAGGAATGCCAGGTGGATGGTGGCCCGGCCTCGAGTGCGGCCCTCAGCTACGTTGAACCAGGAGAAATAGAGGATTGTGGCCACTGTCGCCCGATACAGCCATTCGGAGACAGGGTCTGGCATGAAGTCTGTGCCCTGAAGCCAGACCCAGAGCAGCAGCACCAGCCACAGGCCCAGGAAGTGCAGAGCCACGTAGTGGGGGAAGAGGGCTGAGAACAGGGCCACAGCCAGGACTCGGGGCCACAGCAGCAACAGGTTCCAAAGGAAGAAGATCACAGAGGAGCCCAGGCCCAGGCGGGGCTTGGATGGGAGGCAGGTGCGCAAAGCCCGGTGGTAGTCCAGCAGTGCCCATGAGATGCCGGCAAAGGACGTGCAGATGCCAACCCCTGCAAAGAGTAAGAAACAGATGAGACGGCTCAGCGCCTATAGCTCAACCAGCTAAGGCGCCAGCCACGTACACCTAAGGTGGCGGGTTCGAATCCCCAGCCCGGACCCGCCAAACAAC